CTCCCCAGGGCCAGGCCCCCTCCCCATCGCTCACCTTCTGGGCCCTGCTCAGCTGGCCCCGGAATTGAGCCTGCTGCGCAGCCAGCCTCCAGCGGCCCAGGCTCCTCACTTTGCACACCAGGGCCACCAGGCTGCAGTTCTCCTGCTCCAAGTCCTGCAGCTGCTCCTGCAAAGAAGGCTCATTTTCAGAAAAGGCTGCCCCCAACATTTTCTTGGGAGGGCATGAACCCTAACATCAGAGACATGCCTTTCAGAAGATGACAAAACTGTGCCCTTTTAAAATGCCTAATGCATCTCTTTCTCAGGGAAACCGGGCCGGAATGCAAACAGAGAGAGCGGTGGGGTGAGATACGGGGATGAAGTGCTGATATTCCATTGCTAAGTGAAATCACATACTTTGGCTGCGTTTTCTTTCATTCCTTCATCAGGTCTGGCAGAGCCCCATTTTTTCTTTAGGTCCTTCATATGATCCATCCATTCTGTTCTCACTTCGCTGATGAGCTCACAGACTTTCTGGATCAAATTAAGCTGATTCTCACGCAGCTTCTCCTGCAAATTGCAGACTCAAGTTCAGGAAGAGCAGCTGGGGAAGAGTCATTTTGCCTTCTAAAGTGCAGATTTCAGAACTGATTTCACATGAAAAAATCATCCACCCAGACAATTATTTCATCAGGTATTAGCTGGACGTCTCACTAGCAGCCCCTTTAGTGTTGTCTTCAGTCCCCTGGGCTTTGTCATTTGAGAGCCTGCCCAGGTTGTCAGACACTAAGGCAAGTTGAGTGGGCAGAAGAGTGGGAGGCCATAGATGGAACACTGACGACCCCCCCCTCCAATGGCTATTTGGGCATTTAAACTTAGGGATTTTTGCTATCAGGTTGACTCCGAATCTGACCACTGTAGATTAGCCACTAATGGGGAAGTCCATTAAAAATACATAAAGCAGAGGAAGGAATCAGGCTGGCTGCCTTCCTAGTTAGCCTCCAGCCTAACAGAAATCTCCGTATGCAACAGCCAGTTCTGAATGGCTAATGGCAGTGGCTTGTGGTAAAATGAGTTGGTCATTGGTAAGTAGTACTGGGGACTCAATGCTCTTGGGTTAGGGTGAAAGTGGGGTGTGCGATGGTCATTTTAGGCATAGGGCCTCCATCTACAGCTGCTCAGACACCGTGAGAAAGCGACAGGCTCCCACAGTGCTGCGAGCACCCGGGTGCCCATCTCTCCTCTTCTAGATGGGCCTTCACTGACGGGTCAGCAGCTCCCTGGCCCTGGATGTTAGAGAAAGGCTGGTGGGCATTTTGAGGGCTGGAAAAATCTTGAAAGTTGATCCAAATTTGGAATCTGTCCAGTGAGCTTTCTGGAGGTGCCTGCTGCTACCTACAATGGGGTCTGGCCTGGCCCAGAGCACTCTCCTCTTCTGTTTGGATGGCCACTCAATAGACATTGGAAGAAAAGACTCCCCCTTCCTACTCTCAACTGGTAGTAGAGTGAGGAATACAGCAAGTTTCTAAATTATCTGAACTTCACTGTCATGGTAAAGTAATGACAACCCATTGCCAGCTCCTTCCTTATAGAGAAAGCTTAGAGCTGGAGAATTCTTGTGACCACAAAGCCCATTCCGTTGTTGATCCTTCTGTGTGCAGCTACCATGGGGGTCAGCTACACACATTCCTCACAGGGCTGCCCTGGTTTCCGACACAGGCCACTTACTTTTATGTGTAAACATGCCATAAACAAGGTTTTGACCAAATATTCATATTCTTCTTGCACTTCGCTTCTGATTTGCTTTTGGAGATTCAGATTCTCCTCTTCCAAATCTGTGAGTCGGGCTCTCAGAGCAGTGATTTCCATGATCATATTATGACTGAGCTCCGCAACCTAGCAGCAGAAACATTTTCTTTACATGGAAGATAATACAGGAATTGCAAACTGCCACTACAGTGTGCACTTTTACTTTGAACCTAATGAAGGAGGTGAATATCTTGTGCAAATGTGGGTGGAAGAATCTAGGTTGGTTTAAGGGTCGCAGAACAGTGCCAGGCACAGAGTAGGTGCTCTATAAGTGGCTGCTGAATGAATGACCCCAGAAGAGACACTGCTAAAGCACTTCATTTGGAGAAAATACTTCAACTATCTTGGCCTCCATCTGAAAAATGGCCTTTCCTTGACATTTCAGCTTAAATACCTCTTCTTTGGAATTGCACCTTAATCGACCTCAAGAGAAAACAAACAATCCCCTCTCCCCAAAACCCAAAAATAACAACAAGAAGAAAAAAACAAATCAATAAAAGTAACAAAAAACACCAAACCAAACAAGAAGCCAGCATTGCTTAAAAAGTGATGGCACAGCCCTGGAGTGTTTCTGCAGCGCACCTTCATTGGAGGGACTTCCACAGGCTGCTCCTGAAGGGCACACAGGAAAGCAACACTTGGAAGTCCCATGTCTGGCTACTGCTGGGACTGTGGATTTGAGAAATGGCGACGAGAAACTTTTTAGTAATAACTGACCTACCTGAGCAGCATTGTCTTCAGGTGGACTCTGACCTCTTCGTAAAATATCTAATTCCTGAAGAGAAGAAAGTAGCGCACAACTAAACTCATTTACTCTTCCAACCACTGGCTCAGTTTAGTACAAAGTGCTCCAGACACTTCCTACTTGTGTTCATGGAGCTTCATGTAGATCCTTGGGCCCCACGGGGAGCCAGGCCTGTGCTTCAGGATGCCCAGTCCAGCATCAAAAGACAGCACCCACTTCCAGGTATCCACACTGACGCAGAGGGCTTAGCTATGGGGATAAGTCCAACTGGGGGCAAAAGCCAAGACTCATTGTTTGATATTTTAATGCTTCAGGTGTCCAGACTTTTATGCTTTTCTTAGGTATACACTAAAATTACACTGACTCTCTGATGCAATCCATTTCAAAAAGGGTGCCATCTAGAACAGGAGAGGTGGCTCTTGGATCCTGCCAGTGGGGTCTCATTTTAAGAAATTCTCATCATGAGACTCGGGATGTGCATCCTGAAGACAGCGTTGACTCAAGTGTCCTGGATTCTCTGCTAGACCAGGAATGGCATGAGGTGCCTTGTGTTTGTCAAGGGTGAGAAGGTCAGTTATGCATCTTCCTTGGGGCCAGCTCCCTTGTCACTCACCTCTTATTATATTCTCTGCTAGACACCTCCAAAGCGCACCACCCACTATGGCTGGGGCCATCATCTTTGTGACTGAGAATACCAGACTGAGAAAATGAGCCAACGAGAAGAGAAATTTGGAGAGTGGCATTCATCCTCCGTTCTACACCTCTCCCCACCCTCTGCTTTACTTTCCTCTTCAGAGTGACTCCTGGGCCTCCCTACATACACCTTCCCCATTGCAGTTCTGGTCTCTGGGAACCTACCTGCTCCTTCTGACAGAGCTTCTGCCTCACATGCTTCAACACATGCTCGTAACACATGGAGTAGCTCTCGAAGTTGCTGCGTTCTCTTGCCATCACATCAGAGCCCAGGGAAAGGAGGCAGGCCTCGAGGTGGTCTTTGCTGAACGTGATCTGAAAAGAAAGGGGCGTCATTCACAGCCGCTCCAGCAGGGCAGCCTCACCATGCCAGGCTCATGGCACAGGTGGCCTTGCAAGCCTCTCTTCCAGGTCTGCTCTCAACATGCACAGGACCAGGGACAAGAGTACAAATGGAGGCCCACATACCCTATGTCTAAATATTCTAAATATTTGTAAAGGTTACAAATCAAACTAACAAACCATTAAAATGAGAATGTTTCATTCTCTTACTTTGGAAAATAGGCCTTCAAAAATGACTTGGAAGGCAAGGTTTGAATTTAAACTACTCTGAGTTCTATTATGCTGAAATGTGGTAAGTTGGGAGGAGATCCTCCCTCTCCCCACCCCCAGTTTACAGCATGACCGCCATTTCTTCCCCTCTGGCCTCACATCATACTGCAGAGAGCCCAGCCGTCCACACCCACACACAGCTGCCCTGGATCACCCCTCAGGCCAGGGTGTATACATGGCGGTGAGGTCCACTCTCCCTCTGGGGAGCATGATCTGGGAAAGAAGCCCTGGACTCAAGGAATTCCAGGGTCCCAGGCATTTGAGTGTGCTCTGGAAGGAAGACCAGGAATCTGAGTGTGCATGTCCCTTTGGCTGCATGAATTTCTCACCCTGTGGGGAAGGGTGGGGCTGGAGGAAAGTCAGAAGGCCCTCTGAAGAATGGTGCTTCTGGCAGGGATCCCTCTTCCTCTGGCTGAGGGGCCATACTCTTCAATTCCTGAGCAGTCTCATTCCCTCTCTTTCTCCAAGAGATTTGGCACCCTTCTGAAGAGGTGGCCATTGAGGAACAGAGGAAATGCCCACCCCTTCAGGCAGGCTTAGAGTTTGGCTCTAGAGAGAAATGGAAGGTTGGACAGATCTACCTGACGAGGGCCTGCATGTCCATACGAGTGCTTATGTATGTCTCTGTGTGTCTACATCAGTGAGTGTGTCTGTGTGCATTTGTGGATGTCAGTGCGTGTCTGTGTCTCTCTGTGTATGTCCCTATCTGTATATGTCTCTATGTCTGGGTGTGTCCCTCTAGGAATATCAGTGAGTGTATCTGCGTGTGTATCTGAGGGTCTTATGGGGCCTACTCTGAAACCCAGCCTGCATGCTTGCACGAGCATTATCTATGATATTTCCAGGGTCAGGAGGGCTCCAGGCTCACTGGCAGTCTGCTGCAGAAGCTAGGCTGTCCTTCCAGCCTAGGGTGGTTCCCTGGCTCTGATTCAATTGTCTGGGCAAGGCCCAGGACACTGTCCTATCAGTGCAATCTCAGTGCCTCCACTGACCTCCAGAGAAAGCCCAAGCAGGCTTTGCCAAAGCAAGTGACTGAGGCAAACCAGCAGAGATGGCAAATAGTGCTAAACCCAGTACTGATGGAGTGAGGATGGAAACAATCTAAAGTGCCTAAGAATGGAAAACAGGTTGAATCCATCTCACCCATCAATACAATGAAATACTAAACATCCACCAAATCATACTGTGGACATACATTTATTGACAAAGAAACATATTTATAACATTTAGTCAAGAGAAAAAAGTACACTATAACAAAAGGGCATATAGAATAATCTTATTCTGTTAAAAAAGTACATGAATGAAAAAAGTTATAAAGTTTGAGAGAAAATATGCCAAAATAATAATAGTGGTTATCAATGAGGGTAAGATTATGAGTGTATTTCCTAACACATCATATTTCTATTTTCTAATACAATCATAAAATGTGTATATAATTACAATAGTTATATATAAGTACATATAAATAAAATATATATTAAATAAAAGAGAGTAAAGCTTTTAATAAGATCACCAACCACAGCAGCTTGGCAGGATGAGCTCACTATAAGCAGAATAGAAATACTAGATGAAAACTCCTGCTCATGGGGGATTTTATGAGAATGAACCAGGGAGTCAGGAGAAGGTACTCAGCCTCCCGCACTCACTCTCTAGGGCCTCCTCAAGGAGGAGTGGTGGAGTGGGGTGGAGGCAATCCATCCTGCCCCTGGAAAGTGAGCAGGAGGACAGCCAGAGTTAGCTGCTGAAACCAAGGCAAAGGGAACCAAGATACCATCCCCTGGACCTTGACTTCTTTATGGTGAAAGGGTCAAGGCTACATGAATTTAGTAAGGACAAAGGAAACACACCCTGGTCTGAGTAGAATGAAAGCCTTAAGCCTTGAGACAATATTCGAGGTCAGCAAGGTGTGGCCAGTGGCCCCATCCAGGTGAGCTGGGCCCAGAGCTCGGAGTCAGCTACACTGACCCACTCCTCACTGTCCTGAGCAGCAGCGCTGGGACTCCAGTGTGCGAACAGACCCTCCAGCAGCTCTTTAGCAGGGCAAACACTTCTTAAACGAATGCTGCCATAGCCACTGCAGATATAGGATCCCAAATAGACAGAAATGTAGACTTGACCACAGCGGCTCTCTGCCATCCCCTCTGGGCCAGCGTGACGTTTTACCCAGTAAGGATGAGGAACCCTTGGGTGAGTCACTGTTACACTAAAGAGGAGAGAATGGATAGGACTTGTTGTGAGCATCTCCAGAGGCCAGAGAAATTGTGTCGCTTCCTTCCTTAGTGGCTCTGCTGAGGCCTCAGAAGGCTGGGCTGAAAGATCTGCTCAAGAAGATGGCATGTAGGTGGGTTAGTGTGAAAGCAGGGAGGGATGGTAAGGGCCCAGCCAGAGCATCCGCAGTGGGGACAGAGCATGTCTATGGTAGGGCAGGCAGGAAGTTGTGACTGACAGGTGACCGAGAGGTCCAGGAAGCTCCTGGAAGTCCTCTCTGCAGGTGAACTTTGATTCTGCAGGCTGCGTCCTTGGCCTTCCAGAAGCAGCACCTGGAGCTACTTGAGCAGCATCTCTTATGGGCCTACAGCCTATGTGGCTTCTGTTGGCACAATCCTTCTATGAGCTGTCAGAGCAATTTATTTCTTAAAAGCTGTTCTTCAACCCACCACTGCCTTACTAGGTCACTAAAGGTCATCTCTGTGTCAAAATATAGGAGGAGGAGGCTTCATTGGTCAACTTCCCCTCCAAGGCCAGCCCCTGGGTTCCCGAAGAATCCCAGAGTGAAGACTGTTGGCTTAGTGCCTTCCAGTGAGCTGATTCCTTCATCAACACTTAAACTGACCCGGGATGATGGCCCTGGCTGGAAGCTCACCAGGTTGCCCCATGGGCTTTTCTGGAGGGTCAGTGTGAAGGAGAGAGAGTATGCTGAGTGATAAAAATCCAGATTTTTAAAGATTTCAAAGAGTTCAAAGTGAACAAAAACAAGGCCTGTCACATGGCAGCTAGGGGGATGCCTAAAGGCGGCATGTGGGCTTCAGGTGACTGTTAGCCTAATGAGTCAGCCACGACGTGGCTGCCAACACCCGACACGTGGGTAGGTGTTAATCAAGCACAACCCCCAGGTCAAGGGCACTCTGCTGGTCAGATGACTGAATTTAGAGGAGGCTGACCAGGGTGGCGGGGGGTGCTCATGTCAAGTGATGAAGGAAGTGAAGATGGGTTAGTCTGAAGCAGAGGAGGCTGGGCACAGATCCTCCGTGTACTGTGCTTGTGCCATCTGGGCTCTGCACAGAGGACCCAGGTGTGGGGGGAGCCTGGCGCCTGCCCCATTTTGTAGTTCGTGCCCCATGGCCCTGGCAGCAACCTCCTGGAGGAAGGGCTAAGGATTTGTAACCCACCCCCTGCCTGGGTTTGTCCTCCTAGGGCAGGCCTTTGGTTGTAACTTTATGGAGGCTTCACACGTGTTAGCAATGGTGCTAACTGAGCTTCCCTGGCTGCCCTACCTGCCTGCAGATTTCTAAAGGCTTGCTGTGCGGGGGCAGAACCATGATCTGTGGTGGCCCATGGACAGAGCTAGGATCCATGGTGGAGATGGTGGGGAGGCTAAATCCAGCTCAGTAAGAGCTTCCAGAAACACGAGCTGCCAGGAATTGGGGGAGGGTCACAGTCACTGCAGAGGATCCAGAAGAGGCTAGAAGCCCACCGGGCACAGACTTTGCAGGGACCTCACATCATGGGGTCCTGTTATTTCAAGACACTGCAGGCGGACACCAGTCTCTTCAGTGTGCTCTGAGTTTTAGTTGTGCCTGATATGGGTTTGTCCTGTCTCCTAATACCACATTTCTTTCCTCCAGACACTGTCTTCAATGTTGGGATGAAGTATATAGATAGGGGGTGAGCAGATCTTGAGTAACAAACTTTTCGTTTTTATTGTGGTAAAATACAAATAACGTAAAATTTGCCATTTTAGCCATTTTTAAGCATACAGTTGAGTGACATTAAGCATATTCACACTGTTGTGCAATCAAGCTCTAGAATACGTCACCTTGCAAAACTGAAACTCTGTACCTACTGGACACTAACTCTCTCTCTTCCTCTTCTCCCCAGCTGCTGACAACCACTATTCTGCCTCCTGCCTGTGGATCTGACTGCCCTGCTACCTCATATAACTGGAACCATGCAGCATTTGTGCTTTTGTGACTGGCTTATTTTACTTAGCATAATGTCTTCAAGGTTCATCATGATGAAGCACGTGTCAGAATTTCTCTCCGTTTTAAGGAGAGCCACAAGTGTTTCTTAAAAAAAGATTTTCCATTGATTTTTAGAGAGAGAGGAAGGGAGAAGAAGAGAGAAACATCGATGTGAGAGGGAAACCTCAATTAGCTGCCCCCTGCACCCCCCTACTGGGGATGGAGCCCACAACCCAGGCATGTGCCCTGACCAGGAATCCAACTGGCAACCATTCGGTGCACAGGACGAAGCCCAACCAACTGAGCCACACTGGCCAGGGCAGCCACAAAATGCTTTTGACTCAAACGTTTTCCTGAGCCCCACCCTACTCATCTCTGGGCCTCTGGTTGAGGACCTCCGAGCTGCAGGGACCCAAAGCAACCACTTCACCCTTCCTCAGAATACACAGTGTCACACTTGTGTATAACTAAAAGCTTAAAGCAAATACTTGTAAATCATCAAGTTCTGAGGGAAAATGTATCCCCAATGAAGCTTGTGAATTCTCTACCTCATGATTAAGAACTGGAGTGATTATAAAATTATGGGGAATATTTGAAGAGCTTAAAAAATGTAATTTTAGAGAAAACATTGTCATGTAAAAATTTTGCTAAGTCAGGTTTTTAAAAATGGTTGAATTTCAAAGAAAACTGGATTTATGTCTACCTAATGCGCTTATGTTTAATTTGTTAATGATCCTAAAAGCTCTGTTAAGGATAAATGTCTACATATACTCCTGACTTTTTGGCAGAGTCCTTTGATTTAGAAATGCACTTGCTGTCAAGAGTAAAGGGTTCCAAACTCCACAAACTGTGTGTATGTGTGTCGTATGTATTAATTATATACTATATAGAGTTGTTATGGATTCAAATGTGCATACACAGAAAAAGTTGTTGGTACTGGTTTCCTTTGTGGAGAGGAAACGGGATGGTGGAGTGGAGGGTAATGTTACCTTTCTGGGCTAAGTTGTTTTTTTTTCATATCATACATTTAAAAAAGAGTTTTCTAGTGGTAGTATGGGCTGTTTTGGTTTCTCTCTTTAAATATTCTGTACTACAAAATTAACAATAGGAAATGTTGCTAAAAAGAACTCATTCATACACAAACCCCAAGATTACTTTAAGAAACCTGAAATTAACCAACATGCATATTCTAATTTCTCTCCCATCTTTATGAGAAATCAGTCTTTTTCCAAAATTAAAATGGTAACAAGTGATTGCTACTTTGAGTTCAGGCTCAATATTCATATGTTCAAGGGGAGGAAGGGAAGCATTAGGAGATGTGTTTAGGGAAGCGATTGTCAACCTTTTTCATTTCATGACATACATAAAGTTCTGCAGCACACCAAAAAATATATTTTTTGCCAGTCTGACAAAAAGGTAGGTATAATTTTGATTTATTCACACTGGACAGCTATTGTTGTGTTGGCTGCTGTCATTTTTTAATTTGACAATCTAAGGGAAAAGAGGTCAGTGCCCCTGACTAAACAGCCAGGTAGTACATGTTTTAAAATTCTTGAGGCACACTAGTTGAAAATCATTGATTTAGGGGAAAGTCTTCCTTGTTTGGATTTATGTTAAAAAACCACACACTACGTAATGCCTAATTTTAATACATACCTCTAGTCCACCATCCTGGTAATTCTCCATTAATCTCTGTATAAAATTTTCAACTATTTGTGGACTGATAACTGAAAAGTTTTCTTCCATGACTTGGTGTTTCCAAAGGTCTAGGGGAAGAAACATACCAGCACTAGTATCATGAAACTTCAACTGAACAACCATTACTGACTATGAAATGGCAACTCTCTGAGACAGCACTGGACACAGCAAGTTATTTCCAAATACACAAAAACTAGTGGGTGAGGTGAGGGAAGGGAGGGGGTGGCTGAGAACACAGGACCTTCCAGAACATGGAAATAAGGAAGATATGTGACAAGATTCCTGATGAAAAGATTTGGAAAAGCACCTCTGAAGACAGTGAGCAATATTGCTACCATAACTAAAAATTCTGAGTCAAATGTTATTGATCCAGCATGACATCTGTTTTCATTAAGTGCCTGTATGTATCTGAACAATTATTTTGGCCTGAAGAGCTATTATATGTATCTGTTTCAGTACATTCCTGGTGTTACAGGCAAAATTAATTTAAATATAGAGTTAATGAAAATATGGGAGGAAATCCAAAAGAGAGAGAAGAGTCACATATTAGAAATGTTGAGAGCAGACAGACTATAAACTTTAGTTCCTGGGTTGAAACCACAACGGGGCTGACACTTCTGAGGCGAGGCATATACACAGTTACTCAGAATAGCATTGTTGCACAGCAAAAGCTTGGAAACAACACCTAAATTGTTGTATATCCTTTGAGTGGAATAGTATGAAGCTGTGAAAAAGAGAGGACTTTCTCCATGTACTGATATGAAAAGAAGCATCGATTGTTAAGTGAAAAATTAAACTTGCAGAACAGTGGATATAAAATGCTATCCTTTATAAGAAAGATATGATAAATATAATAAAATGGGAGGATATCTCCTTAAGCCTGTTCAACATCACTGTTCCAAAAATTTGGCATTCTTCAATATCATCCCTTCTTCCGTTTCCTGAACCATTCAAAATAGCACACATTCTTTTTCCCACCTCATAAAAATCCTCTTCTGGGCCCCACTTCCTCTGTCAGCTATTATCTCATCTCTTTGCTCCCTTTTTAGCAAAACTCTCAGAAAGAGATGTCTACCCTTACTGTGTGTGACTTCTCAAAGTCCTTAAACTCACTCACCCAGCTCACACCTGCACCACTCCAATGGGACTGATTTTTTTATAAACACCAACATGACACCAACACCACCCTGTGACCGTAACATGGCTAAAGCCAGTGGTTTTACTTGACTACCAGCAACATTTCACATGATTTGTCACTTCCTTGTGCTTGAGAAACTTCTATCACTAAACGTTGGGACAACACTCTGTCCCACTTTTCCTCTACCTCACTGCTTGTTCTTTCTAGATCCCTTTTACTGGTTCTCCTTTTCTATTCCCCACCCCCAGCTCTTGACATTAGAGTGTCCTAGGACTCAGCCTTCGGTCAACCTCTTTTTCTACCCACACTCACGCCCTTGGCTAGCCCATCGAGTCTCATGGCTAAATAACATCCATATGCTGACAGTCCTCAAATTTAGACTTCATACCCACTTGGCAGCTCTCCTTGGATGTCTAAAAGGCATTTCAAACTTCACTTGTGCATAATTAAATTTCTGATTTTTCCTCCCCAACTTGCCATCTCAGTTGATGGCAATTCTATTTTTCCAATAGCACAGGTCAAAAATCTTGGAATTATCATGGATTCTTCTCTTTTTCCCATACTTAATACTTAACCCATTAAAGACTACTTCAACAATATACCTAGAATCTGACCACTTAATACCTCCCCTTCTCCCAACCTTGTTTGAGCCATCTTGCTTGGATTATTGCAATAGCTTCCCAATTCCCTCTCCCTTATTGCACTCTTTCTTCCTTCACTGCCCCTTCTTAAAACAGAAGCCAGAAAGATTCTATTAAAATATGTCAGATCATATCACTCAAAATCTTGGGTAGGCTCCCCATTACATTCAGAGTAAACACTGAAATCCTTGCAAGGTCCTGCACAATCTGTTCTCCTTTCACTCTCCCTCACTGGCTTAATCTCCTACCACCCTCCCTCACTCTCTCCATTCCAGCCACACGTGGGCCTTTGCTCTTCCATAAACATGACAGGCATGCTCTGCTTGGGAACTTCATATGAGCTGTTGTTCTGTCGAAATGCTCTTCTTCCAGGCACCCATCTAGCTAACTCCCTCACTTTTTTAAACTTTGCTCAAAACATCACTTTCTCAGTGAAGTCTATCCTCACCACCCTATTGAAAATCACCATGTGCCTCCTTCCAACACCCACAGCACCATCTTCCTTACTCCGTTATCTCCTTATTTCTCATGTTTATTGCTTGTTGTCTGTTTACCCCCTTCTAGATGACGAACTCCATGAGGGTAAGGATTTTTTGCTTCATAACAGTAAGGATGCATCCCTGAAACAGTGCCAAAAATATAGAGGCCGAGAACATAGTATGTGCTCAGTAAGTAGGTATTGAATGAAGGAATGGATTCGTATATGCATAAAACAGCCCTGAAAGGATATATTAAAAACTAACTAAAAGTGGTTAGGTAGGAGGTGGTAGAAGAGGGTCAGTAGTGGCAACAAGACTTCTAAATATATTTTTTTAATATCATTTTGAGTTTTGAACCAGGTTAAACAAATAAAATCAAATTTAAAAATAATATGGCAGTGCTAGCACCATGGAAGGATGTCAACATTCCTTAACTCACATGTGGAAGAGCAAAAGCACATATGCGTGTTAGTTGTGTGGGTAGGACCACTTCCTTGTGCATGGCCCCTGAGGGGTCTTGAAACAAAGAGAGACCCACAGAGTTCGGGGCAGGAGCCAAGCCCCACTCCACTTCCTCTTCTATCAGGGGTGCTGGCCATCAGCAAGAGCACCACAGGGCCACTCCCTGCCCCCAGCTGGCTCTTTCTAATTTCAGATTAGGTTTCTGACTCACACTTTCAGTTTTCTGACAGGACACTCAGTGCACATAAGAGGAAGCATCCTACACAATCTTCCCAGAAATGTGGATATGACAGAGCAGGAGCCTCTGGTATTTGCACTTATTGTGTTATTTATTGAGGGGGGGGAGGGTCCTGTTTTTGAAAATGGGATTTCACGTTTCTTCTACAATTGTCTACTTTCCATAGTAAACAGATAAATCTGATTTGCTTTTCCTTTAAGACAATAAAGGTGGGTAGACCTATCACCACTGTCCTAGCACAACTGAAGCAAAAAATCCAAGAGTTAACGTGCCTGGAAGTTCACACTTCTTAAGATGCTAAGACTTTTATAAATCTAAGGTTTGACAAGACAGAGCTCACGTATATTTCAGACAAGAAATTGTATGCTTTTCCCATGATACTTTTGGGGCAGGTGTCTGGCTCAGAGAGGCCTAGTGAGGGGCCACATCCGTCACACACTTCCCATTTGGGGTCATCACCTGCCAAACATCCACAGAACTGGTTTGGGGTTTAGCTCTGGGCTTAGCTGAAGGGGAAGTGCTTTGCTTGCATGCTGGGAGATCTTCCCAGCAGGCTTCCTACTCTCGAGTTCAAGTTCAGACGTGCATCTGCATCTCAGGCAGGACAGGGGAAGCCAGGGAGAGGAGAATTCACCCAAGAGAAGTCATTCCTGGCCAAGTGGGGTTGGCAGCCTCTACGTGTGTCTCATTTTCAGTACGTGTGTGGTCACGGCTTCTCTAAGATGAAGCGGTTTTTGACAGAAGTGCGGTGGTAGGCGGGGACAGCACACTGAGGGCTAAGTGAGGGTTTTATTCTTCCCCTTCACTCTGTTCTCACGTCCTTTGACTGGAGGAAACTGACTTCCTAGAGGCCAAACCACTGCCCCCTTCCTCTCTGAACAGAGCCTCGCCCTCCCCCGCGCAGCCTCCTCCCTTAGGAAGGGCCTCTTTCTTTGCTGGTCTGTCACTTCTCCAACACAACCACTAGCCCTCTGTGGCCGAGTGGCCCTGGGTCTTAAACCAAGGCAGAACCGAAACTTAAAGTACACAACTGCCGCTCAAAATTGTTCTCCTGACTAGGCAAGGCCTCCCCTCCCCCCCAAAATGGGGGCAGGTTGAAAACCTTGTTGCTTCAAGCATATGTATGTATTTTGTACTCCTGTGTTTCTCAAACTGCTCCCCAGAACACTAGTTCTTTGAGTTGATGACAGATGTTCCCAAGGGAAGAAACGGGTTCAGTGACCAAATAAATTTAAAGAACATTTCTTACTCTATCTCTATCTTGGAAATTTATAATCTACAGCAGGACAGTAAAGTCCCTAAGAAGGTCTGGAGTAAAGAAATTTTTTTTAACATTACTTATTCCAAATTTCCCAAACTTATTTTGACAAAAAACAAACAAAACCTTTTTCTCTCAACTCCTGCAAAATATGGTAGAAATCCTCTTATCTAAAGCAATTAAGCCTAAGAGGTCATAGGTCAGTCAAAAGAAGTCTGTCAACAGAGAATGCTTAAAAAATGACATGCACTATCTTAAACATTTTATTTAACTTAAAAATACACAAATATACAGACATTTGTGAATCTTCTAACATAAAGCCTAGGCCTCTTCTTTGAATGGACCCACTCACTGGAGTTCTGTACCATCTTTCTTCTATAAACCATAGTATATGCACATGGTCTACAATCTCTAGTGTTCTTTGTTTTAGCTTCTTTCCTTTTATGGAGGGAAAACTTAAAGACTGTAAAACAATCCAAAGGCATCATTTTTTTTGGAGAAGTTTTAGGTTCACAGAAAAATTGAACAGACATTACGGAGAGTTCCCATATATCTTCTTCCCCCACCCCCAACACATAGCCTCCTTTAATATCAACATCCTGCACCAGAGCCTTTCTGCATCAGGGGAACCCATCTCTGCTAAGGGGGACCCTGAGGCTAATAGGGATGTCTGGAGCCACTTTTGAGCGTTCTCAGGGGAGCACTAGTTCAGCTACCAAGAACCAGCACCAGATTGGGTGTGGCTCCCACATTTCAGATGCTCACTGACAAACCGAAAACTCACACAGAAGCTGTATAGAAAGATGAAGTTCCTCGACGAGGTGGGGAGGAGGGAAGGAGGTAGAGGGAAGGTCAAGGGTTCCTTTCTGGCAGGTAGAATGTAGACACTGAGTTCGCCAACAAGGAGAGAGGAGACCCCAAGGGGAGGACAGGAGCTTATGATGTGCCCTGGTCTCAGTCTCTTCATTCCCAACTCCCTCTGGAGAAAGCCCTAGCCCCAAGCTAACCTTGACCACAAAGGGTGGTCTTGCATGAAGAAGCAGCCCCTGTTGGAAGCCCCATCCAGTATGGCTGCTGCTTGCTGCTGAGACTAACAGGAGGTGGTTTTATCAGCTTCTTCGAGGGTTCCCAGTGCACAGAGGTCTCAGGAAGACTAGACTGAAGAAATATACAGAACAGCACCCCTGGGAGGCAGCACTCCTGTCACTTGTGTGTGGGGAAGTCAGTACAGGAGGAGACTCAGGCCTCCAGGTTGGCATGCCAAACAGACCAAAACCAAAAACCAAACCACCCTCACCACTGGCATTTATTTTCAAAACTTCATGAGTACGGAATCTGAACAAGAGTTTAGAATTGGCCAGTATACCTTAGCCAAAGTAAGGTTTGGGAATATCAACCTTACCACCATTAAAAATAACTCTGCCCCTCCCCTCTGCCTGACTCCCACCAGGCCCTTACTGAAGGCCCTTTCCGAGCACAGCTGAGCAGCACCCTGACCAGGGCGCAGGCCGCGCAGCCCCAGAGCAGAGAGGCTTCTCCCCGGTCTCATAAGAAGCACAGCCTGGAAACTTGCAGATGGTTGCGCCTGCGTGTGCTTGTGGATTTTTCTGCCGGGGAGCCACCTGGACGCAGCCAACGTGGCACAAACAACAGGAGCTTTGTGTCCTGTTGAATGTTCAGTAACTGGAGCTCACCCTCGCTCTGCTCTCGAGCGACACTGGGAGCCGCCCAGGGCCGTGGCTTGCCCTTCGGCTGCACTGCCTTTCCCCAGGGCCCTGTTTACAGATTCAGCTACTTGAAGCACTGATAAAATGACAATGGCTTAGGTGAGGACAGAGGTTATTCGTAAACATGACAATCTGTGGATGTTGCCTCAAGAGGAAAATCTAATTTATTCTGCTAGTCAGACAACTCCTCGGTAGCTCAAAGGCTGTGGATTTTCCTACAGAATTAGTAGGAGTTAGGAGTAGATATTTCCGTTTAGACAGGACCAGCTGTGTAATCTGGGGAGCCCCGTGAAAAATAAAAATGTAAAGCTTCCTGTTCAAAAAGTAGGAAAAAAGTACCATCATAAGAACTAAAAAATAGTTTTCCTTTCTTCTGCAGTCTCTCTTGACATGTCATGGTGTTCTTACTTGTTTTTAACGTTGCACACCCAGGCATGGGAATGCTTGCAGGGCAAATGCAGCCCTCATGGGCACCCAGGGACCCTGTGACTAGGTGCATGAGTGCACATGGTCCACCAGGTACAGGGCCAAGGTCTCATGCCCTGGCACGGGGCAGAGAAGTTGAGCCAGGCCCACTGCCCCAATCCACTGTAGACGGGCAACCCCAAGGGTATTACACTCTGTCTTGGGGCATTTTAGGTACCCAGGGATGAGCAACAGGCTTGTCCCCAATGAGTCACCCATTCAACACACTGGTGCTGTTAGCTTGGGACCCCTTAGACACCACAAGGTATATACCCCCCCCAACCCTCAGGCCCCCACTGGGGTGGAGGGCTGCAGCGGTCGCTGAGTGGGTTGGTACGGGGAAGTTGAGGGGTGCCTTGGATGACAGAGAGCAGAGGAGCGGGCAGCGGAGAACCCCTCCTGGCAAGCAGGGAGGCAGGAGGAGGTGGGACTGTATGTGAGCCCGGACTCCCAGCCCTTGGTGCTCTCTCCGTCGACTCGCCGGGTTCCACTTACAAAACAGAAATTCTAAGTTAAAAATGAGGAGTTTCAAGAAGGTACCCAATGAGCATTAAACTCCAAGTGCCCCTGAGTCCTGTGTGAGCACTTTGGCCATACGTCCATGAAGTGATCCTGGCTTTAGACCTCAGACGAAGGAAACAATTTTGATTGCCTTCCCACCCCAAATATATGCATTTCTAACATTTTGACATGTTTATGTCATACATGTGTAATATTCGCCTGTATATGTGGAGTAAGAAAAGCTTTATGCTTTCCCCCATTTCAACTTTATTTCAGTTATGAGTTAATAAGAAGAGTTGAGACTGAAGTTAACAAACGTTTTTCTATTTATATATTTATTCATTTTAAAAGTTAATTTATTATGGTTGACGTACAACAAATGTTTTCTATTTAAAAGCCCTTTAAGTAGAAAGAAATATATCAAAGTGTTAATAGTACTCCTCTCTGGATCAAGATGTTAAAAGTAATTTTTATATCATTTTCTGGGCTTTATAGAGTTTTTTACCCTGAACATGGACACATGGATTGCTTTTATAATTAGGATAGAACAGTGAATGTTATTTTGCAAGATAATAATAATTTTCCTGTGGGGAGAGTATGCTGCTCCTTGGACTTTTCTGACACAACCAGTGTTATCTCTCTGTTAACGTTTCTTAATACTTCCTGGATCATATGCATTTCAAGATTTTCCAGAAGTTTCTGAAGCTAGAGTAAGCAGTTTGAGAGTCAGTCTCCACATTGAGTTTCCACTCTAGGCTTCTAAGTCAAACTCCTGCAGAAGGGCCTTGGGTGGGTCCTGTCCTTCGGCTGCTCTCTCCCTGGGAGAAGGAAGGGTTCCCGCCTTGGCCTCCCGAGTGCTTCTGCAGACCAAAATCTTTTCTTTCTGGCCTACATTCTGACTAATAAAATACAACTCTTTTTCCCAAGCTCTGTTGAATTGCAAACTGCTTGATGTCTGAGGTGACCTCAGGTGTTTTGAGGTCTCCAACTGTGGCCAGGAGTTTTGTGATCTGCTGTTACATGAGAACCCTCAGGTCTGAAGCTTGAGCTAGACAAGGAGGATTTCATGAGAAGATTTCAAACTCCATACAAGACCAAGAGAAAACTCTTCCAATAACCATGAGCCCTTACTTTATACATTATGCTTGCAGAGCACATGGGGACTGGTGTGTGTGTGTGTGTGTGTGTGTGTGTGTGTGTGTGCACGCGCACGTGTGTGTGTTGGGGGGACAGGGCACTGAATTCTCCTTCAGGCTCAGTAGACACACATCTGGCATCCTGGCATCTTGGCATTGACACCCAAACAGGTAGAGGCTTTGCTCGTCTGTTCCAATGAGCCCAGCCTCACGGAACCTGGGTCCCAGGACCAAGGTGAGCAAACACTTGGGTAAACCGCCTCTCCACATAGGGACCTAACACACCAACTGGGCTCATGCATGAGCGGTGGCACCTTATTCTCAGAAACACAATCGCAGGAGCTATCGTCCATTTCCTCGGGCTGTTGGTGGTGGTGGTGGGGATACTTACGTGCTGGATTTTGTGTTCAAGATGCTAACGCCTATATTCTCTTTCATCGTCTTTTTTTGTGGTGGCACACCTTGTTTGTGGCTATTAAAATATGAAAATCTAGACTTATAGTTCTGAGGCACTAAGTGGTAGTTATTTGCTTCTTCAAAGCCCCACATGCCTTTAAATACTTAGTGCCCTCTGAGCCTGTCCAACGATTTACAAACCTTCAATTTACACTGCCCTTCTTAGGGAAAAAACACACCGCTTGGGTATATCTGTTAATGCCATAAAGCAAAATCTCAAAGCCGAATTCAAAACAGCTCCTGCATACCTGCACAACCTTTATTTCAATCTCTGAAGCTCCTTCAGGGGGAAGAATGGACTGACTATTATAAGTTCTTCAAGTTCATCTTCTTTCCCCATCCTCTTAGCTATAGCTTTCATGCTGGGGTACAGAATGTCAGTTCTGTTAAAGAAGAGAGACAAAGTTACAAATAAACATATTTTTTTCCCATTCAGATTCTCTGACAGTTATTTTCAGTTCTGTTTCCTGTCATCACGTATAAACCTCCCAACCCATCAGAGACACTCACATCAACCTGTAACAACAATTGCCACTCCCTTAGTCAATATGAAATCCTGAGGCCTTTCCCCATTGGGTACATTTAATTTCAGTCTTCATTTTTCAAAATATTGACAAGTCTTCTCATTCCCTAGTAACCGGGGGAGCTGACTGTTAATAACTCATACAATATACACACAATTCAGACTTCCCCCAAAGTCAACCGTCTTGTGCTCGGCAAGATCGAGGGTGGTGGGTGGGTGATTAGTGAGTGCTTATTTGGTGACACATGTCAGAAGCAATGTGTCGTTCCTCCCAGGGCTTGAAGCTGGGAAAGCACCCCACCATCCACAGACCTCATTACACCTCTGTACCATATTGTAACTCTGCCTGCAACACAGGAAGCTCTCAGAGACTCAGCACTGGGGTCTAATGGGGCAGAGAGTAGGGAGGAATTTGCAGCAGCAGCATCTTTCCACCCAGTGCTTGCTGGGATCCTTTGAGCTAAAAAGCTTAGAGTCTGCACTGTGGCCACACTTTAGAAGCCCAAGTTCCTGGGGACACAACTCTGGGTAAATGATATACCACGTTGCCTTGTGGAATCCAGGGCTGTCCCTGGGTCAACAGGACCCAGCTTCTCCTGTAAAGCACTGTTTGTAGAGACACATTGGCAGCTTCTTCTGGGCTCAGTAGGGTTGGCCATACCAGGATTCATGGATCAAATCTCACGCCCAGAGCAAGGGGCTGGAATTTGCCCAACTCCAGGTTCGCATGAATTTGCATCTCAGCAACACTCACCCGTAGAGCTCCGAGAACTGATTGTGGAGAGAGACAGAACTGATGTCCTGGCCTCGCAGCTTGAGCCGGCCCCACTGCTCCTTCAGCACTTCCAGCTGCTTCCACAGCACCAGAAATGACCTCAGCAAAGCAAGGGACATCACTGCATCACATGGGCCCCCCAGAAGCTCGGGGGCCTTTGGGCTGCTCTGGAACTGACTTCCGAATCCTGACGCTCTGGGCAAATTTGGCTGAAAGCATTACAGAAATTCTTCTTTATTGATCCTGGACCAAGACAGGATAAGCTTTTACCTGTAGCCCTTGCAGAATTAAGTCCTTGGAGAATGACTCTTCTCCCCAGAAGGGGGGTTTACCCACCTGCAGCACATGTAGGGCTCAGATAGGGAATGCATCCTTCCGGAACAGACAGGAGAGGAAGGCCTCATTTCAGCTTTCTGCTTGAGTCTTGAACCACTCGTTTTTACACTTTTTGTACTTGGGTACTACTAACATTTTATCTCCCTTTGAAAAACTAAGCCTTTCATCTTTAGCCTCTGCTTTCTGGAAAGTGCTCTTCAACACACCCGAGATTTAACTCTCCATACGGTAGAGCAATAATACAACCTGAAATTGGGGATTTTACTCGTTGTCTGGGTATGGAAATGGAAACTTAAGTTTATCTTACCTCCTGTTCCTTCCATCATCCTTTCAAAGTTAGGCAGAGAATACGTCTCTTAATTGGAATTTATTATTCAATAGGCAATTTTACTTTAAAATTGTGATTTGTTCATTCATTCATTGGTGTTTCTCTTAAGTGTTTATTGAGGGGCTGCTATGTGCCCTGGAGGGTGTAGGGGGGAAAAAGGGTTTCAGGTCCCTGCTCTCTTGTGGCCAGTGGTATGAGGGCCAGTCACCCAGAGAATGACAAACAGAACAGGACTTGTGTTCAGGCCCTCAGTCTGCAACAGTGTCTCAGTCACAGGAAAAGGAACTTTCCTTTGCAGGTGAAGATGGTAAATCTGATCACGATGTTATGACAAGGGCCTCAGAGAACAATCAGGTATTAGCACCTTAGACGCTGGAGATTCCTCCCCCTCCAGGGTAAGAACAGGAAGAACAGCCACCTGGTGTAGCTGGATCCTGGAACAGTGCTATTAACATCTGAAGAAAGGCCTGGCTGCCAGAAATGTGTTGGTCCAAGGGACAGTTGGCAAGCAACACCCAGGGAAGAGTGAGCTCCTGAAGACAGCTGGCAACCCCTCAACCTTGTAGACCGCTTCCTCAACAATTAGCTAATGCATGCATTTCCAGATTCACTTTATCTTCAGAAACCTTTTGTCCCATGAAATTTTATGCAGTGGCTCCAAATATCCAATAGACCAGAGCCAAGCATGGTGACAGGAGGTGGTAGCCTACAGGCCATATAGTTGGCCCTTCTGCTAAAAAATCCCCAAAGTGCCTCTGGGACCACAGTTTTAAAGGCCCTGAGCTAATCCATTACTTTCACTTTGTTTTAAGAGAGCACAGAACTGATGGCGTAGCAAAAACAGGCAACCCAGAGTTGTAACTTACAGGCAGTATAAATTCCAGTGTTTCCTATTGTCTATGAATAAGGAAATACTCTTAAATAAACAAATCATAAAATAAAACTAATTAAACAATAATTTTAGCAAACTTACCATGTCAATATATAGTTGACACTTGAACGATATGAGGGCTAGGGGCACTGACCCCTACACAGTTTAACTTAACTTGAATCTGAGATGGGAAGCCCAGGGATATACAGGGCCAACTGTATATTTATTGGAAAAAAACCATATATAAGTGGACCCTTGTATTTTCAAACCAGTGTTTTTCAAGGGTCAACTGTATTCATATTAAGAGAAGTCTTCTCTTCCTAAGTGTTTCAAAGGATGGGAGAAGGAATGGGAGACAGAGTGAAGAGTGAGGTGGGGGAGGTGGGGTGTCAGGGGACCCTGCTAATCCATCAGAAGCAGGGCTAAAAATGGTAAAGAGAGGGCCAAAGGGCTCGGCATGCTTCTTGATCTTGGCACTATTTGGTCTATAGCCAGCTTTGCAAATGTTCCTCCTGGGTGAAGCATGCAGTTCTGTTGTGGAATTTAGATGGCACATCTAAGCACACGTCCTTTCCCACCAATAGGCCTGAAGCGGCCTTGTTAGTCGGTGTTAGTGAGACACAGGGGAATCTATTGGAGGCTTCTAGAATGGTTTTTCCTCCTTGATAAAAAGAAAGAGCTCCCTAAGGAGAAAGCTTTTCTGCTCCTCTCTTCATCTTACAAGGAAGAGAGAGGCATTTTGCTGATACCAAGACACTGCCCCGACCTGACCCACCCCCTTCCAAACTCGCTTTGAAAGATTAACTCACTCCTCTAATTTAAGTCAAGGCTTGTGGGACAGCCTGGGATTTATGGCAGGTGCGCCCTAGTTGTCACAGAGAGGCATTCACTTAAAGATGGAAGATCAGAAAAGGCTTTCAGAGGAGTGGTTTGGAAGGTGAAGCCTGAGGGGTAAGTAGGAGTTAATGTGAGTTTTCCAGCAGAGGGACCAGCTGGAGGAAGGCCCTGAGGAGGGAGTGCGTGGCGCTTGTGTCAACGCGACAGGTGAGGGTAGAAAGGTGGGCAGGAGTCAAGCTGCGAAGGTCCGGTTAGGGCACGTGGACTCTATTCTCAGGGCGTCTGGAAATCGCCGACCGATTATAGGAGGGAAGTGGCGTAACCGGTTTTCATTTGACAATATTATCCGGGTGAATAGCGTGGAAGGAGGCACGAGTGACCAGAGGGAGGCCAGCTGGAGGTTACGCTCGTCGCCTCGCACTGGGAGGGACCCTGATGTACCGGCGGGCGTGGGGTGGGGAGGGGGCATGGGCACAAAGGACGCACTTGAGAGATATTAAAATAAGAGGGCAGTAAATCTTGGTGTCTGGCTATAGGGTACGGCAGAGAGAAGCCAAGGATGGGGTCCAGATGTTTTGGCCTGGACACGGGGCAGGTGGTGGTAAGCTGACGGGGAGTATGGAAAGAACAGCAAGTTGGGGGCAGGAGAATGAGCTCAGTTAGGGACACACTGCTTCTGAGATGGAGCATTTGTTCTATTGGTTTCAGTGGACTGCTTGCAACCTTTGTTCTATTTTTTAAATGAAAAGAAATGATGTACCACTGATCATGGGACTTCCTGTGAAAGAAAATGCTTTGGAGTGGCTTTCACAGGCGACTGCTGCCTCATTGCTCCTCCTCTGCAGCATGAACACAGTCCTGGGACCACCGGGCACCAGCCAATTATGTGTACTGCTCACCAAGAATACCTGTATGTTTTTGTCTAGTGTGGTCTGCTGTCCTGGGACATCCTCCGTGACCATAGGATAGTTACTCAGAAGTACGTCTTCCATGAGCAGTTGCATGCCCACCAGCTCTCCATGAGCCACCTTGAGGTTTTGGTCACTCAGCCTACAGAGGCATAGCTAAAAACATAAAGGAACAAAACAAAATAGAACAAAAACATCCAGTTTGAAGACTTCTATGTAACCTTTACACATGGCTTTTGGGGAGAAAACGAGGAGGAATTGCGATTACAAGCCCTGTCCTCTCAACTATTAAAAAATTCCATAATAATCAGAGTAACATTTCTAGCTCAAAGTCTTCAGTCTTTTGGCTCTGTATGGAAGTCCAAGGTTCCCAGCCCTTACAGCGGTGTCTGTACATGGTAAATGTATAGTGTGATGCCAATTTTCTTTTAAAAGTTCAGATATAAACACAGGTATGCATAGGAAAAATACTGGAAAAAATAACCCAAAATGTGAAGTGAACTGTGATTGTCTCCTAGTGGGAGGCTATGATTGTTTTGTTTGTTTTTTTTAAACATTTTTACTATTTTACTTTAAAAATAAAACACTTTTTGACTTATGGAGAACTTTGAACATATACAAAAGCAAACAAAATAGTTCCCATCACCCAGCCCCAGAAACCATTCACCGATGGCCAGTCCTGCCCCATCCCCATCACTCCTCACCTCCGTATTATTTTGAAGCAAATTTATAATTGACTTTCATGTTGTTCGTAAATTTTTCTATATTTTATATTTTTAAAAATAAAAACATAATATTTGCTTTAAAAATCAGGAGGAAAACACGTAATTGAAAAAAATTCTCTTTATGAATTCTGCTTAAAGAGTTCTCTCCCTACCACTATTTGTAGATGGGTCAGGAGTCACAGGTCTGAGCTGCCAGCCTGGGTGTTTCTCTAAGAGGCTCAAAGAGTGACTGGGAATGGACGGCCTCTCTTCCAGATCATTATAGGCCATGGGAATTTCAGCTGAGTTTACAACCAAGGCTGATGCCAGCTGAGACCATGATTCTCTTCTGATATAAGAAAACAAGACTCACCCTGCAGTTATTGGGTTTAGAGCCTCATTTTAAAACACCCTGGTTATCTTATAAATTATTCATCATTGACTAGAGTGTGGAGGATCTGACCGATGGCCCCATGACACTTGCTTTGCAGTCTGCATTCAGTTACTCCTGTGATAAGTGGGAAGACCTCTCCTACCTGCATATGATATTCCAGGGTATCTGGGCTGCTACTCATAACTGGAAACAGTCCTCCATCTTCCAGAAATGCTCTCCAAGGGAACAGCACAGATGCCTAAAAGAACCAAATAATAAACATAATGCTGTACTGTGTTCACAAGTAATACACTTCTGTATATGAACAGGACAAATGTGTCTGAGCCCCAAAATACTGTGGGATGTTTTACTTTTTATGTAGAAATAGTTCTTAATGTATAGTCCTTAATGATGTAGAGTTGAGAGTAACCATCTCATTTTGTTAAATTGATTTTTCAGGAAGTAGCTAAACACAGAAGGGTACTTAAGGCTTACTTCAGTGTAACTAGTCAGCACAGTGTTCAAAAGTTCCAGAACAGTATAATACCACTGGGACATATTTATAATCAACAAAGTAAACTTATTCAAATGTTCTCAATATTAATTCTTAAAAATTTGTGCTTAATCACTGCTGTACTTCAATTCTAGGTAACATCTCAAAATCAGTGCCACAATGTTACATGTGGGCCTCTGTGTTCTCCACATCACTGTCCTACAGCCAAGGCTTCCCCTACTCCTTGTGTCACCACAAGCAGCCCTGGATTTAGTGGGCCTGTCCATCTGACCTCCTTTGACACTTCCAGAGCTGTACTGGCTTCAGACAATTCCCAGATCTGGAGGTGATTCGGGTGGCAGAGGACCAGGACACCTCATCCACCCAATCCCAGGTAACACCCGAAGGCAGAAGGAACAGACCCAATGGTCATGGTCCAGTCTTGTCTTCTGGGTTTAAAAGAAGGTCAAGGCTTGGACCAAGAGTCATTGTCTTGTAGCTAGGGAAGGTAGAAACGTGGGACTTACACACGTTGGGGGTCAATGTTGGCATTACTACATGAAAACATTAGGTTGGAGGTTTTGGAGTGAAAAGACCTAGGCTTATGAGGAGGTCTGAAAAATGTCCACAAATTCTTTGCGACTGTTCCCAGTAAGAGGCGGAGCTTAATTCTTCTCCCCCGAGTGTTTGATGACATTAGTGACTTGCTTCTAATGAAGAAAATGTGGCAAAAGTGCTGGGATGTCACTTTTGAAATTAGGTAATAAAAAGACTAGAGCTTCCATTTTGGGTTCTCTCTCTTGCTCGCTCTTGAACTGTCCCCTCTGGGGAAGTCACCTGCCATGTGAGGAAGCCCGTGCAGAGCCCACACGAATAAGCTGGGAAGTGTATCTTCTGGTCCTGCCAACAGCCACGTGAGTGGTCTGGGAAACTGAGTCCCCTCCAGTAGAGCCTGAGACGACTGACGCGCAAGCCAACACCTTAGGCAGCCTCGTGAGAGAGTCTGAGCCAGGACTACCCAGCGAAGCAGCTTCCAAAGTCCTGAGCCTCAGAAATGATATGAAATATTGAATGTTTATTGTTTTAATATGCTAAATTTTGAAGTAATTTTTTATGCAGCCATAGGTAACCAATACAGTTTGTGAGCTGGTGCCGCCCTGACTACCCAGCAGTCTGATCTCCGGGCTCCCTGGACCTGAAATTCTTTAGTTGTAGAAGGCAGGTAATATTGTTGGTGCCTAGGAGCAATAATAGTTGCCAGGATTACATTCAATAACACATGTAAGCAGGGCTGTTCAAAACTCGGCTGCTGCCTAATGTATGTACTGTAATTGCTATCGTTATTATTTATTAAATGAAACAGATCAAATATTGGTTTTGCCACCAGCAGTGAGCAGATAAGCTTTGCCCCAATTAGCCTGTTGAGCGGTTGGGAGGCAAAAACCCTGACTGGGAATGACAGATGGCCCTGGAGGCGACACCTCTCTTCTATGTGAGTGGAGGGGAGCCAACCAAGACTGGAGTACATTAGAGCTCGGAGAGTCCCTGCGACATTTAAACCAAATGCAAACAAAGTGATAAAATCCCCTCTGCACAGCACGCCTTTGACAGGTAGCAAACACCTCTCAGCGCACCTGGGGGCCCTGCGGATCCAGCGGCGGGGGCGCTGCTCAGCGGGGGCAGCCCGTGGCACAGGCCGTCCCTGGCGCACTGGGGGGCCGGAGCATCCCCGGCTGCCAGAAATGTCCTACCAAAAACGGAGGGAATCTCATGAAAAGCACTTACTTAAGCTTCTAAAGCTTAGAACTCTCTTCAAAACTCCTGTAGTAAGATAACATTTTGAGATCGAACAGGTTGCTTCCTCAGTGACCTTGTCCCTCACCCTTTCTTTACACACGGCCTCCCTCACCCGTTCTTTACACATCGCCTTCACTCTCACAGTTCACAGCTCTCGAGGGAAAGGCACACATACCCTAGACCGGCAGTGACCAGCAAGACTTTCTGTGTGTGGGAGTGTTCTGTAGTTTACTGTCCAAGGTGGTAGCCACTAGCCACACGTAGCTGTTGAGCACTTGCAATGTCGCTGCTGCAACTGAGGAATTGAATTTCAAATTTTATTTCATCTAAATCAATATTAAAGTTTTACATGAAATAGCCACATGTGGCTACTGTATTGGACAGCTCAGTTGTTGCTGTAGAACAACAAAATCAATTGTTTGTTGAATTATTTTAAGACCAATAACCGAGACAACAATTCATGCCATTAAAATTTGTAAAATCAAATTTTAAGTTAAATAATAACCTGGGGTTTGAAAGAGAAAAGGTTTTTGTTTTGTTTTCAACAAAACTTGGCTTTGCATATCAAGAACCAGAAATCCTGAGGACTAGAGCATGAAGTTTATACCATAAACTGTAGAAAAGGAAGTATGCATGATAAATCACAATGACTTTCTTGCTCAGAAGGAAAAAAGAGTTTAGCAAGCAAGGAAAGACTGTTTCTAGAGCTTAAATCTAGTGAATGCCTAAGAAAAGATCCTGACACAGGATAAAGTGTGGGGGAGGGTATCCCAGAACAGAAGGGACTTTTTGCTCGGGTCCTCCATGGACTTGGCCCAAGTCTTGCATAAAGCAGACATAAAAAAGAAATAGGTTAGCAATGACTAAGGGAGATGTTAGCACTGATGGAAATGAGGCAGCCTCCCAGAGACTAGCAGGCAATCAAAGGGTGGGGGAGTCCTTGACAAATGGGTATCTAGGCAGGATGCTAAGCAGCAGGCCAACCAGAAGAGACCTGGGGTTGGGCCAGCTAACCTACAACAGGGATGGGTGAGGTTAGCCACTCCTCCCTACCAAGATGATTTATAAGCACCCCCTGGAACTTGGGTCACCTCTGAGGGGAATGAAGGAGATAGGTGTGGTGTGAGGCTTAAAATTAAATCCAATAGTATGTGCTGCCTTGACATCTGGTAAAATCAGAAGGGCCTTGAATGGCCTAATCACAAGTTCCCTCCCCACTCTGCCCCAGAGGGACGAGGGCAGTCCCTCCTTACCCCTGAGTAGTGGTTTCAGCTCCCTGTGTGGATGAAAAAGGGGTGCTGTAATAAATCACAAATTCCTAACTGGGCAGGTCAGGGTGGATAGTCATGCCCCAGGCCTATACCTTCTTTAGTGAAGGTTTTTAAGCCAGCCCTGTCCATTGTTTTTGTGCACCTGGGCTAGCACACCTTTGAAATGCCCCCTTTCAGGCCCTTCTTTCTAAAGTGTGCCTGAGAGCACATAATCTCATTACCTATCCTGTAATCGGATCCCCACCGTGCTTCCTCCCACCTTCCCGTAATCTTCCTTAGTTCCCTTTTTTATTTCAAATGCATAAAAGAAACTGCAAACTGCTATTCTCCAGAGCTTTGGAGATCTTGTTCCCCAGCATATGTAGTCAGTTTGGCTCAAATAAATTCTTATAAAAATTCTCTACAGGTTTGCACGTTTCATACGTTGACACCTACCAGACCACAAAACTATTTAAATGGACCAATCATATCCTCCTGTGGGAACCAGGAGCTACCACATCCCCCTCGATGCACAAAGCCTGCCTCCCTCAGCCCCTGGTTTTCACTCTGTTCCCAAGTGCAGTTCCTCTGTGGCCCTGCCTGGCGTACAATGTCCTCTTTCCCTGGGCTGTGAGTATAGGTGACTAATAAATTGCCGTTATCTCATCTGTCCAGTGTTTGGTGGCATGTATCCCCCTCTTGCCCCCCCCCAACCCTAGTGCCATCCCCATAACTCTCAGGCAGAATCCCTCCCTCACCAACAGAGTAAGAGGCAATTATAATAAAGGGAAAGGGGATAATCTTGAATTAATTGGTTTTAAATATTAAACTGACCACTTTTAAACTCTAAATATGGCTGAATGACGTGGAACTGGAAGGTTAAATATTTTTGCTATCAGCAGAAGTAGGGGTTTATGAACATAAGTTCAAAGACAGGTAAAAGGAGCTCTATATTTGCATCAAACCATTCACATTTTAATGAGAATTAATAAAAGATAGTTGAGTACTGTTATGTACTGAGACAGTGGATAAAATAATTGATTTATCCTGATAGCTCAACAATGGAGATTGGAGTTGCTCAATGGATATGTCAACGTAAGAACATCCAAACCTGTAGAGAATTTTTATGAATTTATTTGAGCCAAACTGACAGCATCCTGGGAAGCAAAATCTCAAATACCCTGGTTAATGGCAGTTTTTCAGTTCTTTTTATACACTTGGAATTAAGTTAGGAAGAAAGATTACATAAAGGTGGGAGAGAAGGTAGGAGAAAGAAAGTAGGGAAATCTCTATGACTGGATTTCAGGATAGTTAACAAGATTATGTGCTCCTTTGAGGGTGGTTATGCCTCTGAGGGGTCTGAAAAGAGAATTTCTCTGGCATTTCAAAGATGTGTTAACTTAGCTGCACAAGAACAATGGACAGGGCTTGCTTAAGGCACAGATAAACCTATTTCTTCACCCTATGTAAAATCAGGCCTGGGGTGTGACTACCCACCATGACCTGCCCAGATAAGAAATTTATGATCAGATCACCCTGTGAGGTTACTTTAGGTTACTTGAACTTGTCAGATTTATTAGAGTCCTTTTTTCATTCACAGATATATAAACATTTTCTCCTATTCCTCATATTTTTCACATGTTTTCTTAAGATTCTCACTGAGCCCTGCCTAGGGACCCA